TAAGAATTTAAATAGGAAGAAAATAAAATATGAGAAAAAGTTTTGAAAAAAAGAAAATATTTTGGTATTTTAGAAGATAATTTGGAGTGATAAAAACAATTAAAAAAACCTAAATCTCTAATTGATTTTAATATTTGAAAAAAGTTTATTTAATTTAATTAATTAATTAGTAAAAATAAAAAAAATAAAAAAAATTAAATGTTAGTTAATAACCCTACACCTAATTTATTAGTATTAGAAAAAATTAGGTTAGTTTAATGATTGATTAAATAAAAAAATTAGGGTTAGAAAAGAAAAAGAAAAGAGATTAGCTTAAAAGAAAATATGAAAAAAAGATTTGCATGGGGTGGGTGTTGAACCCATGCCCTCCTGGCTTCACACTGCATCACTTGCCACTAGGCCAATCACTTGTTGATGTCTGGAAACAGGAATTGAACAATACATAGGGAACCTGTGTGTTAGTTTGAAAATAACAAAAAAAAAATTGTAAAACGCAGGGATCGAACCCACACCCTTCATGTAACACGCCTTTGCCTTAACCAACTGCGCTACGCTTCCATTCGGTTATACAAAAACAAATCAATAAATATAATATGAACAGGTGGACCGGAGAGGCGTCGGAGCCCTAGCTCCGGTCGTCTTCTCCGATAAGATCGCTTTGTAACCTGCAAAAATAGAACGTGTAAGGAATAAAGAAGTACCCTATCCCCCTAAATCGACCCTTGCGAATTAAATGGTGGCATTGTTTTTGGCTAGCTCGACCTGTATAAGGAGATACGATGAAGATAAACCAAAACGATTCAATAATGGTGATGGACTATTTTGGCATCATTGGCCTCATGCAAGGGATCAAACCTGCACTATTTTGTCTCAGGAACATATTAAAGGTGTTAGTTTACATCAAAGCATCATAAAAATCAAAGCGTGAATTTCACAAAATATGTAAACCGGCGATGCATCATATGCATGTTTCAGGCATCTTTGATCATCAAGAATGATCAAAACTTATCCTATGATACCTCAAGAATTGATTTGAATGGTTGGTTGGCGTTGAGGATGTCTAAATGATGGATTTCAAATTCACCGTCTTCCTTGCAAATTTCGACTTCACCACCCTTGTTTCTCGCGCCACTTTTTTCCCTTTGGTCTGAATATGAAGGGTATATATAGATGAAGAGATTAGGTCAAAAACATGGGCTTGGACTTCATGTAAAGCATGCCTTTGATTTGTTTTGGAAATAAGTTGAAAAGTGACAAAACTATGGAGATTTGGTTGAAAAATAAATGCGCTTGATTTGTAGCTCGGTCTTGGGCCTCCAAAATAATCAAATCAAAAGCCTTTTATGCCTTACACATTTATCTAATATTTATTTGATTTAATTTTGAATTTAAATGAATAAAAATTAAAATAAATAAAATAAAAATTAAAACAATGCATGAACTTAGAGGTCTTCTAAGATATCATGAACATTTTTAGACCTTAAAAGATAGGTCCATTAGCCAAAAAGTCAAATTTGCTTCAAATTGAATTTCATACATTTTCTCAAAATTTCCTAACTTGCACAAATCATATCTCACTCAATTTTCATCATATGAAAGTGATCTTTGACTTTTTGGAAACCTCAAGATGTCTCCTACAACTTTCATGTTGGTAATTTTTCCATTTGAAGACTTTTACTTGATGTAGATTGCTTTGACAAAAGATGTCTTTTTGTTGACTTTTGAAATGACCTATAATATTTTGGCTCATATCTCTCAAATGAAGCATTTTTGGCCTTGGGCTTAGAGAGATAAATTTGTAGAGAATTGAATTTCCATCAAAGTGGGCTTTGGTTGAGAGTTTTATGATGAAGCATTTGAAAGTTATGCTTGATCATAGTTTAGTTGACTTTTCTCCTAAAGAAAACCCTAATTTAGCAACTTTTGACTTTTGATGAATCTTGAGGTTTCTTGATGAATCATGATCAATTCTTGATCAAATGATGAATATGAGTTAAAAATATTTATGTTGACCAAAAATCTTGAAGTTTGACTGTAAATTGGTCAAAGTTGACTTTTTGTCCAATAAAGTTAATTTTCAATCATCTGACTATTTGACTGAGCAAACTTGTACTGCAAGGATTGAAATTTGGCATGAGAATACTTTGAAGCATATGAGAAACTATGAATTCAACTTGAGACATTAGAAGTCAAATTTTCCTTGAGGAAATCAAAACCCTAGTTGTAGGCCACTGCTTAGGAGGAGGATTCATCTGATTATTCTTTGAGTAGTCTTGAGTACTTGAGAACCTTAGGAGCATGAGAAGGTATCTTGAATCATATTTTCTTGAAAAATGGGAGGGCAATTTTTGGGGTACAACGGCTCCCATCTATGATTGGTAGAAGCAAGAAGGCCACTTTTTCTTATATCAAAGACGAAATTTGGAATAGGATTAATGCTTGGAAAGGTATATCTCTCTCAAAAGCGAGAAAGGAAGTTATGATCAAGTCGGTGTTGCAAGATATTCCCTCGTATGTTATGAGCATATTTCTTCTCCCAGATTCGGTTACTAAAGATATAGAAACTATGTTGAATGCTTTTTTGGTGGGGAAGTGGTGCTAGGAGTGGCGGTATCTGATGGTTAACTTGGGAGAAATTAGCGTGTACGAAGAAGGAAGGAGGGTTAGGTTTCTGAGACTTTAAGGCTTTTAATATGGCTATGGTGGAAAGACAAGGGTGGCATTTACTCTTGAATCCAAATACTCTCGTATCTAGAATTTTCAAAGCAAGGTATTTCCCTAATAACTCCTTCCTTGATTCTTCCCTTGGTTATAACCCGAGTTATGTCTAGCGGAGTATCTGGAAATCTTGAGAGGTTCTAACTTTAGGTTGTAGGTGGAGTATTGGTGATGGTAGTAAAATCAGGGTCATGCAAGACCCTTAGACCCGAGGTGGTAGTGAAGATATTATGAGAGGTCCCCAAAAATAAGGTGTGTATGATATTACTGTTAGAAACCTTCTATTACCTAATGTGAAACAATGGGATAATGTTGTTATAAGGATTTTTTTGACACTGCAGATGCGGAGCTTATATTACAGGTTCCTTTGTTGATGGAGGTTAATAATGACAAGATGATTTGGAAGGAGGAGCAAGATGGAATCTATAGTGTGAGATCAGGGTATAGATAATGGCGTAATTCCCAGAGATGGTTGAATATTAATATAGTGGAAGAAGATTGGTGTAGTTTGTGGAACATAATAACACCTCTTAGAGCCAAACATCTCCTTTAGAGGATTTTTAGAGGTTGTCTTCCAACCCGTAAGAGACTTCGTCAACATTATGTTATGTGCCCGTTAGCGTGTCAGCTGTGTGATCAAGATGCCGACGATGACTGGCATCTATTTTTGGATTGTAACGCCATCGATTTGTGCTAGAGGGCAGCAAGTTTGTCTAATCTTATAGATACTCGTATTTCTCAGTTTCAAGACTTCAAGTCTATTATTTTCAATATCTGTAAGAAGGAGTATAAAAGAGCAGCGGGTAGGTTTGCAGTATTGATATAATGTATTTGGAAGAATATGAATGATTCTATCTGGCATGATGAGCACGAAGATATGACTAAGTTGGGTCTTATTTCTTTTCACATGTGAAATGATTGGTTTAAAGCCCAAGAAAAGTCGGATAGTATTGCTCAATTTTCCCATAGTTTACAGTGGATCCCACCATCTATGGGATGACTTAAGTGTAATATGGATGCGGTCTTTAATAACAACAATGGTACGACTAATAGAGGATGGTGCATGTGTGATCACTTTGGGAATTTTATCTTTGTTGGTGTTGCTTGGGATCCTGGTATCCTTCCCGTTATTGAAGCGGAAGCCTTAGCGCTCAAGGAAGCAATCCTAGGAGCGATTTCGGCACAATTGGAATTTATCTCATTTGAAAGTGATTCCCAACGGGTTATTCAAGCTATCAATTCTAACCATAAGGGCGATTTGGAATTTAGTCTTATTGTTGAATCTATATTTAATGTATTAGTAAATTTTCCAAACTTTGAGGTTAAATTTATCAAACGTCAAGCGAATATGGTTGCTCACTCCATTGCGAGGGCGGCCAATTCTTGATCTCGAAGTAGTTCGTTATTATTGATTCCTTGTTGTATTGAACACTTCTTGATAAATGAAATACATTGATATTGTTGTGATAAAAAAAATATTATATATTATTATTGTTATTTAGAAATATTTATCTTAACATCAAACTTAAAATAATAATAACAAATTATTGGAGACATGTAATTTATCAAAGATAGAATAGTGATATCAATTATTACATTAGTGTAATAATTGTATTTTTAGTAATATAAATATCTCATTTAATTCATATATAAATACACACCAAATTTCTTTGAATAATACAAGAGAAATCATCCTATATTTTCTCTTAAGTTTCTCTTAAGTTTGATATATCATATAACTCTAAATATATTTTATAATATTATATAATTAGATTAATCAACAAATATTAACAAAGTTTTATTCAAATATCCGATTTTTTCAACAATAACTTTATAATCTTAAAAGTTATTGTCTGATAAATCATTAACCGATCCACACAACAAAGTATTGTCTTAAAAACTAATAAAGGGTAGTAGTAATATTATATATATTATATATATTATAAAGTAATTAAACATTTGCATCCATTATCAAAACAGATATGATAAATGTACACCGAATTTTCTTATAAAAATAATTAAAGAATGCAATTGTCAAAATAAACACACAAAGAGAAGGACACTGACCTTTTGGCATTGCTTAGCTGATTGATCAAGATTCAAGAACTTGTCAAATGTTCCAAGCAACTAAATTTGGTCTATGCTCTCTCTCAAGGTGACGTGTATGCCATTCTCACTCCATTCCATTCCTTCCTTTTTCTTCTTTCTTTCTTCCCCAAACTTCCTTAACTCATTCTTTAACCAAAAAAAAAATAACCATAATCTTCACCACAATCTCAACCATGCAAGTTTCTTCCTCATCAATCAACCCATGCTTCGCAACACTCACTTCCAACCGCCACCACCGCATTCACCGTCCCACCACCACCGCATACTCCCCACCTTCCACCTCACGTCATCTCTCCTTCCATCTATCTCAGAGAGCCACCTCTTCTTCCTTCACTTCACGCACACCAAAAAAAACCAGAACAAGAAAAAAACCACTCACCATAACCTCCTTACTCGAACGTTTCACAGAAAGATCAATAAAAGTCCTAGCCTACGCTCTAAAAGAAGCCGCTGCTTTCAAGAGCAACTTCGTTTTCGCGCAGCACGTCATGCTTGGTCTCATAGCTGAAGCTGCAGAGAATCCTTCTGAAACCGGTTTTCTTGGTTTTGATATCATCACTCTTGACAAAGCTCGTGACGCTGTTCGTGTTCTGAATGAACCCATGAATTACGTTGATGAGGATGGTGTGTATGTTTATGAAGATAAACCTGTTCCGTTTAGTTTTGGCACGAAGCATGTGCTTACTTCTGCTGTTGAGTATTCCAAATCTTTGAACCATAACTTTGTTGATCCTGAACATATTTACGTTGCTTTGGTTAAGTTTGATGATGGAAGTTCTGCTAGGATTTTGAATAGGTAATGTTACTGTTCTATAAATATATGCATATATGTATCATTAAAATGCGTGTATAACTGTAATTTTCCGTTAATGTTGCTAGTATGCAAATGATTTCAGGCTCGGGGCAAACCCACATCAGTTGGCAGCTGTGGCGTATTCCAGGTTAGAAAAAGAGCTTGCTAGAGATGGTAGAAAGCCAGGTGTGCTGTCCAATGGGGTGCACAAAAAATCTATCTCAGAAAAGCATTCTGATGCAGGTTTGTTGTTTTATGATTTGATTTTGATGGTTGAAGGCAGAGATAAGTTTTTCTCATATTCATTTCTGGTTATCAGAGAAGAGTGCTCTATCACAATTCTGTGTGGATCTCACCTCCCGCGCAAGGTTAGGATTAATTGATCCAGTTATTGGCCGAGAAGTTGAAATTCAGAGAATGATTCAAATACTATGCCGAAAGAAAAAAAGTAATCCCATTCTTCTGGGTGAAGCTGGAGTTGGAAAAACAGCTATTGCGGAGGGACTGGCAAATAGTATTTCTCGAGGAGATGTTGCTCCCTCTCTATTGGTGTGTTTATCAACAAATGATTGATGTTTCTAAAGTTTTTCTTTTCCTGTGTCCCCTTCTGTAGTTGCATTAGTTCTATCTAGTTGGCATGCATTGTAATTTTACTTTCTAACTTGTGTCTACGCAGAAAAAACGTGTCATGTCCTTGGATGTAGCACTATTAATGGCTGGGGCTAAAGAGAGAGGAGAGCTAGAGGACCGTGTTACCAAATTAATAAAAGACATAATAAATTCAGGTAAATACATTTTAACAAAAAAAATTATGATCAAAGTTGTGTTAATATATGTGTGGCACACTACAATAAGATTGTTTTAGCTCATTGGTTTTCTTGAGATGCAGGTGATGTCATTCTTTTCATTGACGAAGTTCACACACTAGTTCAATCAGGAACAGCTGAGAGGGGAAGTAAGGGTTCTGGCTTTAACATTGCCAATTTGCTTAAACCTTCTCTTGTAATGGGTCTATTTCAGGTGATTGGTTGCCCTGTAATCTCATTTGCTAGTTTCCTTTGTTCCAAGTGATACTTGAATATTTATGCATTTCAATTTGAAACCATCAATAAGCAATTCTTAGTAACATATAAGATTACGGATAGAGGTCAAAATATATGGTTAGCTGTTCCAGTTACTTCGGTTCTGTCACCAACATTTTTCAAAGTAATTGTACTAAACAAGATTAGTAATTAACATCTGGAAAGTAAGAACATTGAGATTATTTTAAAAGTAGTCTTATGAAGTACTGAGAGACTATACTTCCTGTCAATAGACTCACTGCTTATTTGGTAGGGATACGAGTGAGTGTTAACTGGTAAATATTTTCTTATCACCACTTTATGGAACCAAAAGGTTACATGTACTAGATGATTTCTTTTGCAAACATTGCAACCTGTTAATGAAATGAGGGAAAAGTTGTATGTTCAATGTTCGTGCAATTTCCATAAAGCTAGTTCCAAATACTTTATATGTTTAAGGCTGTGAATACTGGACTCAGTTATATACAACAACAGGCATGATTATCAATATTCTTTTCATCTATTAATGCCTTTCTTTTGTTGAAATTTTCATTTTTTTGCAATTTTAATTGGGGAGGGATTTGTGGTTTTGAAGTAGTTCTGAATTTGAATTCTTTAGCTGACACAACTGTATAAGATATAACAATTCTTCCCTCTAATGAAGTTTTCTTGAATAACTGGTTCAGTTTTATGATGCAGTCGGAATGTTCTTAGAGTGATCATTTTTATATAAGACTGGATCATCGTTTTTCCTTTAAGTGTTATAATAAAATCTTCACAGACACCATAACTTATCACTTGAAGCACATTACTTTATGTGCAGTGTATTGCATCTACCACCATGGATGAATACAGGCTTCATTTTGAAAAGGATAAGGCTTTGGCACGACGGTTTCAACCTGTTTGGATCAATGAGCCAAGTGAGGTTGCATTCTATATTCACATCTATATAGTTCCAAGTTACTCCTTTATAACTGTCGCTTTTGCAGAAAAAAAACTGTATTTATTTTGCTTTTTTAAAGTTCAATGAAACATTAACTATTGTTTTGTCAGTAATACACTTACCTATTTATTGCAAAGAGAAATAGGTGCAATGAGATAATAAATAGCTAAGGGTATTAATAATACAAAATTTATCAAAAGTAATAAACTGTATTGGTTTATTTTTTTGTAACTATAAATAACCTTATAACGACAACTAAAAAGGAACAAAGGGAGTACCGTTTTAATCATAATTTGATTTCTTAATGAACTATATATTTTACTGTGTATAGGATGATGCAATTAACATACTCATGGGTATACGTGATAAATTCGAGGAACATCACAAATGCATATATACGGAAGATGCCATAAAGGCTGCAGTTCATTTGTCAGCAAGATACATAGCTGATAGGTATCTACCTGATAAAGCTATTGACCTCATAGACGAAGCCGGAAGTAAAGCTTCTATTGAAGCCTTTAAGATGAAAAAAGAACGTAACTGTTACTTACTTTCTAAAAACCCAGAAGTTTATTGGGGAGAAATTAGAACGGTTCAGTCCATGCTTAAAATGGTAATGGCATGAGTTGCTGTATTCGCCTGTTCTTTGCATGAGCTGCTTAGAGTATACGTTGATATTTTTGATATTTCTCGCCCGCAGGTTCAGGAGAGCAAGCTAAAATATTATGCCACATCTGGCATTGGGGATAGCAATGAACTCATACTGGACTCTTATTTAACTTCTGCAGTATTTGATAATGAGTATGTTAGTTGACCCCTAAAGCAAAGTTGATTTTTGTATCCATATCTAGATTTGGTTTTTGAGTGGCTGAAGTGTTATTTTGTGTTTTAGGCGTATAGAAGTTAGGCCAGATCATATAGCAGCAGTTGCTTCCCTCTGGTCAGGAATTCCAGTTCAGCAGCTCACTGCTGATGAAAGTAGTCTTCTGTTGGATCTTGATAATAAACTTCGGGAACGGGTGATTGGACAAGAGGAGGCTGTTTCTGCCATTTCTAGAGCTATGAAGAGATGCCGGGTTGGCCTTAAGGATCCCGGTAGACCCATAGCAACTTTGCTATTCTGTGGCCCAACTGGTGTTGGGAAAACTGAACTTGCAAAATCTTTGGCGGCATGCTATTTTGGATCAGTAAGTATTCACGTAACGTGTATTTTAGTTTTAGCGTTAATAATTAGAGCACATTATTTGTTGTTGTTTTTCCTCTTTTCTAAGGTCTGCGGTGATAATGTTGTGATCTGTACATGTCACGTCAATTGGTTCGTCTGTTTATATTTTACCTTTCATATTATCATTTCAGGAGAGGAACATGATACGGTTAGACATGAGTGAATATATGGAACGCCATTCAGTGAGCAAGTTGATAGGATCTTCCCCAGGTTATGTTGGTTATGGAGAAGGAGGCATTTTAACAGAAGCTATTAGAAGAAACCCATTTACAGTGTTATTGTTTGATGAAATAGAGAAAGCTCATTCAGATATATTCAATATTCTTCTTCAATTAATGGAGGACGGCCATCTTACTGATTCTCAGGTTTGCCAATGCTTAATGTGAATCTTAATTTACCAGGATTTCAATAACCTTTTACACATGAAACCTTCTCCTGGAATTTCTATTTCTTCGCTTCTATGCCAAGTAAATACGTGCGCTTGTAGTTGCATCAAGACAATGTGGGTTTTAAATTATTATTGTCCTAAATTTTTCTGTTTATTGTTTAAAAAACTGACTCTAACAGGGTCGGAGAGTTTCGTTTAAAAATGCGTTGGTGGTGATGACTTCAAATGTGGGATCTAGTGCCATTTCTAAGGGTCGACAAAATTCTATAGGTTTCTTGTTTTCAGATGACAAATCAACATCATTTAATGGATTGAAATCGATGGTAATGGAAGAACTGAGGGCGTACTTTCGTCCAGAACTGCTCAACAGGATAGATGAAGTGGTCGTGTTTCATCCTCTTGAAAAGCCGCAGGTTAGTTGAGTCTTGGTTTTGATAGGTTATTACACATCATTGAATTTTCATATTGAAATAATTAATATTGATGTTATTGTTGTTATTTTCGTGACAGTTACTCAAAATATTGGATTCTCTGTTGCGAGACTTGAAGAAACAGGTAAAGTCCAACGGAATCGATATAGAGGTGTCTGAATCAGTGAAGGAGCTTGTCTGCAAAGAAGGCTATAACCCAACATATGGTGCTAGGCCTCTCAGGAGGGCCATTGCAGATTTAATTGTAAACCCATTGACTGAAGCATTGCTTGCTAAAAAGTGCAAGGAAGGTGACACTGTCTTCATTGATTTGGATGCCAATGGTAAGAGCGTTGTTATAAATCAGCTTGGTCAAACAGTCAACTTGTCTGACACAAGTCATTCCTGAGGAATGAACCATTGTACATAATTAGCCTGGTAGGTGTATATATACACACATATACTGAAAAGTGAAAGATGTTTTGGTTCCTCTTTGTTAGATTGGTAACTTCTGAGATGTCAAAATGTAACAACACATTCAATATATTCAGATTAATTCATTAAATGCACACACTTCAAAATCCTAACTATTTATTAAATGCAGACACTCAAAATCCTAACTATTTATTGCTGAAAGTATGACTTAGGACAGGTAGCACAAGAGGAGAGAAAGTAGATCTGAGGCTATTTCTAATAGAGGAATTGGTTAGATTTAGTATGCATGAATTTATTACGTAGTTCTTAGTATTACATAATGAAAATAATTCTGTTTAGTTTGTTGTAATTCTGTTTAGTTTGTTACTAAACAGTTAGTTTGTTATAATTCTGTTTAGTTTGTTACTTAAACAATATATATAGTACTGTTTTGTAGATTTCAAATAAGAATAATACAATGAGTTTATTCCAAGATTAACATGGTATCAGTTTGAATTCTGTTTTCCGCGCCTTTCTTCTTCGCGCCTTCTTCTTCTTCGCGCTTTCGCGCCTTCTTCTTCCTTTGTTGCTGCATCAGCTTGATAATGGCGCTTCCTTACTCTGATTTTGCTACCAATCCTTCCAATCCTTACTACATGCACCCTAATGAGAATCCCTCTCTTGTTCTTGTTCAACCTGTTCTTGATACCAAGAACTACCAGATCTGGTCAAGATCGATGAAAGTGGCCCTTATCTCCAAGAACAAGATCAAGTTTGTTGATGGCACTCTTTCTCCTCCGCCCATCTCCGACTCTCTATACGAACCTTGGCTGCGATGCAACAATCTCGTCCTCTCATGGCTTCAACGCTCGATTTCTGAGGAAATTGCAAAATCTCTCCTCTGGTATGATCGTGCTTCTCTTGTATGGAAAAGTTTGGAAAAACGTTTTTCTCAGGGAGATATTTTTCGCATTGTTGATATTCAAGAAACTGTTGCTCGTCTTCAACAAGGAACTCTCGATATCTCTTCGTTCTTCACGAAATTGATGACACTCTGGGAAGAAATCGAGAACTTCCGGCCAATTCGTGACTGTACTTGCGCTATACCGTGCTCCTGTGGTGCTGCTTCAGACTTACGCAAATTCAAAGAACAAGATAAAGTTATCAAGTTCTTGAAGGGCCTTGGTGACCAATACGCTCATGTTCGATCACAGATTATGTTGATGACCCCACTACCAAATCTTGATAATGTGTTCAATCTGGTTCTTCAACAAGAACGCCAATTCAACCTTCTTTCACCTTCTGATTCTTCGATTGAGTCTCAATCGTCTGTGAATCACCTTTCTCAAGCACCTTCTCGTTCTTCTCACAACCCTGGTCGTGGTCGTGGCCATGGTGGCCATGGAAACCGACTCTGTACTCATTGCAACCGCACCAATCACATCATTGAGACTTGTTTCATGAAACATGGCTATCCCCCTGGATTCCAACAACGCAAGTCTACTACATCTGTGGGGAATTCTGTTGATTCTACAGTGAACTCAATTCAAGATGCTGCTTCTCCTCAACTTGAGGCATTATCTTCCTCTGCTTCCACATCAAACACCAGTCCAAGTGCTTTGTCTATGATTCAAGAGTAATACACTCAGATTCTGCAGCTCCTCCAACAGTCTAATTTGCAATCTCCTTCACCTCCCTCGATTAATTCAGTTTATACTGCTAATTCTGTTTCCCATACCTCTCCTCATACTTCCTCTGGTAAGAATTCCTCGAATCTTCCTTGTCATAACTGGTGGATCATTGACACAGGTGCCACTGATCACATCACCCATATCTTTGTCAGTTTCCTTTCCACATACCACATTGTACCTAAATCTATGACAATGCCTAATGGTGACTCTGTCACTACAATTATTGCTGGTTCAGTTTTACTATGTGATTCACTTGTCCTTCACAATGTTTATTACCTCCCTTCATTTCATGTCAATATTATATTTGTCACCACTCTTTTTGACTCCAATTTATATGATGTGAAAATTTCCCCTAATTGCTGTCAAATTATGCAGTTGTCCCAATCCAAGATGACTGGATTTACAGCTAGGAGGATTGGCAAATTGTATGTTCTTGATGCCACCCCACCTAAGGCCATCTATCCCACATCTGGCTCTGTCAACACCTCCTCTTCTCCCCAATTAGAACCTGCTAAACACGATCCTGATACTATTTGATATCTTAGGCTTGGACACTTAAGTCCTTACATACACAAATGTATTTCCTCTCAATTTCCTTTTGTCACCTACAATGACAATCATAAGCCCTGTAATACTTGCCATTTGGCTAAGCAAAAACATTTACCTTTTACTCACAGTAATACTAAGTATTTTACCATCTTCGATTTACTTCATGTTGATATTTGGGGCCCTCTTTCCACACCTTCCATATGTGGCCACAAGTATTTTTTAACCCTTGTAGACGATTACAGCAGGTTTACTTGGACAATTTTTATGGCCAACAAAAGTGAAACCAGAAACCATTTAATTCACTTCATATCCTTTATCGAAACTCAATTCAACAAGAAACTCATGTGCATTCGAAGTGATAATGGTCCTGAGTTTCTCATGACCACTTTCTACCTTTCTAAAGGAATCATTCATCAAAGGTCTTGTGTGGAAACGCCTCAACAGAACGGAATCGTGGAAAGAAAACATCAGCACATTTTGAATGTTGCCCGTGCCCTCTCTTTCCACTCTCACCTCCCTCACAACCTTTGGCACCTTTCCATACAACAAGCCATTCATATTATAAACCGTCTTCCCACTCCTCTTTTAAACAACCACTCTCCCTACCAAAAACTCCATTCTACTCCTCCCAGCCTTAACCATATGAGAGTCTTTGGTTGTCTTGCCTATTCTTCGACCTTACTTAACCATCGCACTAAATTCGAACCAAGAGCAAGGAAATCTATTTTTCTTGGCTACAGGGAAGGCACAAAAGGCTACCTTCTCTATGATCCTATCACACATGAATTTTACATTTCAAGGAATGTATTCTTTTATGAAATTGTGTTCCCTTTTGCATCCATCCCACCTGCACCTAATCCTATAATTCCCACTCCTTACCCTCCTTCCCTTGATTCACCTGATTTTTTCACCAATAATCCACCTGTGATACGGTGGGAGAACTGACTGGGAGTTTTGCGTTCGTATTCGCACTTGTGCGGTTGAGCAAGAGTCGCCACCGACTTTTTATTTTATCCTAAAGGAAAGGTTAAAAAAGCACAGCAAAAACCTTTTGAGATATTTCGTGGGTTTGGGGGGTAGATTATGAAAAGGGAAGGTATTAGCACCCTTTTCATCCATGGTTATCCATGGGCTCTTAGTTACTTGGTTTTTTAGATCACTTGCCTTGATTTTTGATTGCTTGAAAATGGTATATGTGTGAGTGTTTTTGAAAATGTTTTTGAAGAAGATGCCTTGTCTTAGGCTAACCTTGTAACAATTCTTTACTCGAATATTTTACAAAGGCGTGTATCTTTTCGAAAAAATGTTTCAAAATGTTTTGAGAGTTTGTTTGAAAGTGTTGTGGATTGTGGTTTTTGAAAAGAAGGCAAGCGTTTTTTGCAAGTCGATCTCAAGTAACTAAGAGTTTTGTCTACCCTATTGTACTCAAAGGTTTTTGTTATGTTTTAACCCTTTTTAACAATTTTGTTCCACCATTGAATTTGGTGGACAATCTTGTTTTTAGGAAGTTTAACGGGACGGGCGCGGGTCATCGTATGGACCATGAATGCAATGGTGTCAAGTGTCTTTGGCAATTTGCTTTGAAGGGACTATGATCATTCCATTTAGGCAACATTCGAAAGCGTCATCGAGGGACTTATGATCATTTGGAATTGGTTTTTTGCCAAAGATACTCGACGTGCAAGCATGGCCCATTTTGGAAGGCAACATGTGGGATTACCCTAGAGGGTGCAAGTGTGATTGTGTATTGATTTCATGTATTTGTCTTGCATTAGGTTATCTAGCGTCTGATTTTATGTACATGCAGACCCTAGGTCTAACCATGGTATAATTGAAAGCGGTAAATTGCGAAAATGTAAAGTCTACGCTATTACAAGATCAATATCCGGGAGTGGGGGTACAAATTTATGAATGGGGATGAGACTTAGGAACATAGTGTCCAATAAATTAACCAAATCGAACCAATCAAATGTAAATGTAACGAATGTCAACGTAAGCAAATGTATAATGTATCAAAATGCAAGTATATTGTCTAAGTGTACGTGTATTTGATTATTTACAGGTGCGACAATGTGATTTTTACGAGAGTATTATTAAGTATTTGTTTTAACCTAAAGAAGAAAAAAAATAAATGTTTATTCAATTAATTAGTAATCTTGTATTTTCTTAATATGTACAAGAAGAAAGTTTTAATGAACAGAAAATGTTTTCAATTATATTATGTTATGTATAAAAATGGATCTTTATTTATTATATACAAAAATTTCTTAAGAAAGGAAAATGTTTTTATTTATTATATACAAAAAGTATGTTTTAAGTAAATATCAAGAATTAAATTAGAAAAAATGAAAAAATGTATGTTTCTATTTATCATATACAAAATTTCTAAGAAAGGAAAATATTTTCAACATTAATTGTATTGTGTACAAAAGATGTTCTAATTATATTTTTCGTGTTTAATATATTCAAAGAACAATTAAATTAGATGCTTCATATTAATTAAATTATGTATATATAAAGAAAAGTATTTTAGTATTTTAATTTAAAAGAGAAATGGTTGAGTTTATGTATAAAGAAATGGGCTTGGAGGATTATGGCCCAAGCAGAATGTCCATGGTGCTTAGAAAAAGGGGGTGTGATCAGGGAAGCGCGTTTGGGCTTGGCATAGATGGTTGGGGCAAAGCCCATTTGCTTGAGACAATTAATTTTTTGTTAGGGTTCATTGAATGTTGTTCATTAGGGAAACGCTTTTAGG